TTACTTCGATTTATTTATGTCAAATCTTGCTATCATGTTACGGTCAACTCTGTGTAGTGGACATAGTATAAAGCATAACAAAAAAAATTACTCAATAAAAAACTTTCTTATAAGAATAACCAGTTCGATTTTTTATAAAGAGAGTTGACTGTATACATATTAAAAATTTTTTTATAATTAATACAGAAGATTATCTAATTATTATAATATATCGGATATAATCAATACAGAAGATAATATCTAGTTATTATAATATATCGGATATAATTAATACATAAGATATCTAGTTATTAGGAAATATATCATATATAAAAAGCAAAAAGCGATTAATAATCTGACAATCTGATATGGATATAGAACATATTATAAAATAATAACAATTTGTTCAAATTTTGAACGTTAAAGATTTAGCAATATAGTTGAAGATACTTTATTTCAGCGCTGCTAAACCCTTAATAAAAAATAAGTGCATAACAATGTTAATATACAATTTTTTAAAAATAAAAAAAAAAACAAATACTTTGTTATTGATTCTGTGCTTTAATTATAATGAAAGCTACATTATTTTTTAGGGGTGATAACTAGGACGGCTTAAAATTTGATAGCCAGTTAACATGTGACAATACGATTTTGAATTGGTTGATCAACATCGGAAATTAACGGAGATGATCTGCAAGTTTCGGCATTTTGTGTAAGAGATGACAGTTTATTCAAATATTAAACCAGTTCATCTTGGATGATAGGTCTGGCTTTTTCAAATACTAAACCGGTACCAATTAACCATTCAACGATTAATGCCTCTTCAGATTCATCTATTTCTTCTATTTGTTCCGATTCCTTGGTTTCTGATGAAACTTCAAAAGTAAATTCTGCATAAATTAGTTCTTCAATAAAGTTATCTGGTTTAACTAAATTCTTTTGTCGTTCAAGTTGTGCCTTATTTGGCTGTAATTTATTATTGTCTGAAGGAACGGGTGTTGTTGATCGTTTAGGTTGATCATTTGATTTTTTAATTAAATTCTTTTGCTGTTCAGGTTGTGCCTTATTTGGCTGTAAGGTATTATTATTATCCGAACGAGTGAGTGTTTTCGACCGTTTAGGTTGATCATCTGATTTTTTAACTAAATTCTTTTGTTCAGGTTGTACCTTATTTGGCTGTAAGTTATTATTATTATCTGAAGGAGTAGGTGTTTTCGACCGTTTAGGTTGATCATCTGATTTTTTAACTAAATTCTTTTGTTGTTCAAGTTGCGCTTTATTTGACTGTAAGCTATTATTATCTGAAGAAATGGGCGTTGTCGGCTGTTTAGATAATGATTTGACCACCTCTTTTTGTTGTTCTGACTGTATTTGAGATTTCTCTGGTTGCAGATTATTATTTGAAATCGTAGTGGTGTTTGTTGATGATTTAATCGCATTCTTTTGCTGATCAAATTGTAATGGTGGTTTTTTATTATAATTGACAATATTATTATTCGTAATATTATTGACAGTATTATTATTCATAATATTATTGATATTATTAATATTATTAGGTTTTGTTGGAGAAAGTGGAGGAGAACGTTGTCGAGCGTTAATAAGCTGATTAGAAAGTTCATCATCATCATAATAATTTTTATGTTCGGTATTTTCGTTAATAGTCGGACTACTCAATGTACCAGTCATAGAAGTAGTAGAAAACATGGATTTATTTGGCGATTGTGTACGAGCAGAACCTGTTAAGCTATTACGTGAAGTATGACGAGCGTGTCTTCCTTGAATTTGTACTTGATCATAAATACTTTGTTCTTGAGTTTCTTTATCTGGTATCTGTGGTATCTGGATCTTGACATATTTTGGTTGAGCCTTATTATTAACCAAAGTACTCGTAGTTGAAACATAACTATTAGGAGTATTTGGAATTTTTATCGGTCTTTGATCAAAGTTTTTGTTATTTAAATCTTCATTTGACGGTTGTTTCATCAATTTAGAGAAGAATTTCTTGAATTTCTTTTCCGATTTTTTACCACTTTCGGATGGAGGGTTGTTTGTAGATGAAGTTGGTATATCAGGTGGTGGTTCCGAATTTAAAAAATCTATTAGATCTTGAGTTTGATTACGTCGTCTTGGACGTTTTTGACCATCAGTATAAAATATATCATCATCATCATTTAAAGATAATGGTTCAGGTCTCGGTCTTAGTTTTACAGGAGCGGCTTTTTTACCATTTTGAAGATGACTTGTGCTCTTGCTTGCGGCATCATTATTATAATAAGATTGATCCATAGATTTATTATGATTCAAAGAAGTTTCAGGTTGCGAAGTAG